TGGAAGCTTTTAACGGAATTAAAACATCCAACTGTGGCCCCATGTTTTATTGGTAATGGATGCATAAGATCATTACATGTATTTGCGAACACCTACTCTTTGTTTGAACACTAATTAATATAAATGTTTTTTTTTTTTTTGTAAAGTATTTAATATATCTTTTACATGTTTTATAAAGAATTGAATATTTCTTTTATTATAAAATAAGATAGACAAAAAATAATATTAGTTAATAAAACAGAAATATTAATTAATATAAAAACCCTATTCAAGTTTTTTTTTTTTTTATAATCAATTTTACTTTTAATAAACAATTTGTTTTATGAGCTGATAAAAATACATTCTAAATATGTCAAGCGTAAAAAAAACAAATTATTCACGGGTTATTATTTAGTTATTTGATATATGTGTTCACGTAACAACTAAATTAATTTCTATTATTTTTAATTGATTGACCACAATTAAATTAATATTCATCGGTCGTGTTAGAATAATATATAAATATACAGATTGGAACGATTCTAATATTAACATAAGCTCCATTGTTTATTTTAATGCGCGTTTAAGTAATAATCCATTACAAACACATTGCAAAGATGTCTCCGTCGAAGTTGTTAACTTAATGAGAAATATTTAGCATAATCACCTCATCTCGTGCAAAGCATTTGTGGCTCTAGAACTGTGGCGCTTTTCTTGAAAGAACAATTTACTCACTTTATACAATTCTCAGGTTTGTTTTTTATTGTAACAGGAAAGTGGAAAATTGTTATTGCGATACTAAGAATTATGTGATTTTTTTTTAAATTCACTTTATATTAAAACGAAACAAATTAATATGATGTGTTAAGGTTTTACATTTTAAAATTTTATTTAAATTTTGCAGTTAATCTGCATGTTATGCATATCTTAGGTATGATTTTTAGGAAATCATTATAGACTTATTTCCTACAATAGATTGTTCAATTATGATAAAAAAAAGTTTTTATATTTATATAAATATTTATTCAATCAGGTTTAAACGGCTGAACGCATTTATTAGGATACTTTATATAATACAGGTGGAAAAGTCGCGAGATACAACTTCTGTATAACAAATTTGATTTACAACGCAATCGCTTCAAATTTATGTAGGTAATCCCTTTTTTCATAAATATAATTCTATTACATCGTATTTCAAGTTGAAATAATTTCAAACAGCTTGTTATCCATCAACGCAGAATTCACAATTTCGTGTTGATGGATATCCGATGAAAATCCTCTGTACTGGAAGCCTAATTTGAAATAAATGTATTATCATTCGTGAAATCGCGAATTCGATTTTCAATTCGTCAATTCCCGGATCTTTCTTTTTCTTTATAGTGTGATCTGTGAAATAGGCGTATTATAAATAGATTAATATGATAATGTTGCAATGTAATAACTAACGGGTTATGTTTAGACAATGTAATAATAAATGATCGTGCGGCGTGTCTGGCTTTGACAGCTGGGAATCGAAAATCCAATATGTATTGTACCCTTGCACCCTTCGATACGTTACATTATAAATGTTGGCACATACATATGAATTGTACAGAATACTTAGTTGTATTTTGGAAACAAGAATGTTGATATATGTATGAGGGTATCATCTTCTAGTGTCAAAAGTTTATCATTATTGAACTGGTAGCTAAATTATTTAGTTATCTTCAAAATGTCACATGTGCTTTTTGTATATTACAAGATACATTCGCTAAATTTGAAACGATTTTAGTAACTCTTTTGATATTCGATAGGGTTTATTGTCCGCTTAGATCTGTTATTAATTTTGTCACGATTAAAGCAGCTTATTTTTTGAGGATATACAAATATTTAACTACGTGACAAGATGTTTTGATGAATGACATTATTAACGACTTTGTTACTGATTACTGCTTAACACCTGTTTACAAATAATATAGTCTGTAATTACAAATTCGGTTAATAAAGAACCAATAACCAATAGGGAAGAAAGGTTCTTCAGTGGCGACCATGTATTGGTAAACGCAGTGTAGGACAACCCCTCACTAAATGGGGAGAAAATCTGAAATGCATTGCAGGGAATCAATGGATTCAGGTGACTCGGGACAATCTCTGGATGAGGTCTATGTTCAGCAGTGGCCACATAATGGCTGAAGTATGATGATAATAATAATAATAATAATAATGAACTGTTCTTGCGAACAAACCTGATATCGTGGTGATGGATCGGGCACTTTCGAGGGTGTTTTTGGTGGATGTCACCATACCGCATGACGAGAACCTCGTGAAAGCCGAAACCGAGAGAAGAGAAAATATCTCGACCTGGCTCACGAGGTGACCGAAATGTGGGGGGTGACATCTACCGAAATCATCCCAATCGTTATGTCGGTGAACGGTCTTATCCCAACCAGTCTGGAACAACATCTCAGACGGTTGGGATTCCGAGGCGGCTCACTCCCGGGAAAGATGCAGAAAGCGGTGCTCTTAGATTCTACCCGCATTGTACGCCGGTTTCTCTCCCTGGGGCCCTGAACCCCGGCCGACTGTGCTTCTGCCGGGGGTTAGTTGCCATCTCCTCTCCTTAAGAGGGGAGATGAGAATTATAGTAAAATTTAAATAATAATGATATTGTGTAATAAATTTTGTCAAAATTACTGATCGAAGTAATATTACATTTTTCCTTTTAGAAATTAGCAAAGTGAGTGAAACCTTACTTTACAAATTATTGATTTATCTTACAAAGACGCAGGCCAAACGGTAAAAGCTGGAAGGCTAAAACTTTCAAAATAGATTTGTGTTATATCTGCGAAGTGCAGTATTTAATTATGGAAAAGCAGTGAGCTGTACTGCCAAGAAAATATAATAGGATTTGGCTGAGATTTAATTATTCTTCTCCTAGGTTAGTCTAAAAAATACTCATGAAATGAGTATCCTTTTACGATCCATATTAACAATATAATATTTTGAAAGTTATACATAAATAAAACCGGACAGGTGTAAGTTGCGCTTACAAGCCAAGAGTTTCGTTTACAGAAAGAAAGAAAATTACCTTTACTGCTTTTCTTATACGAAATAGACTCCTAATAATTATATAAATTAATAAATTGTAATTATTTCAGATTTTGCACATCAAAAATTTCACAAATGAGAGAAGAGGGAATGGTATTTTTCTTAGATTTTTGATTGTAAGTCAAAAATTATACAATATAATATAAAAAGAAATAAAAATTAACAGTTTTAAAATATAAAAATAAAGCCCTTTCGTATGATACTTCACCTGGACTATTAATTTTATATTGAAAAATTTTGATTCCCTAGTAAAAAAATAAAAATATTTTTTCAATTATTTCCATTGCAATATAAAATGTGCAGTGTGTGCCCCGGCATAGAATGGACCACCTTCCTTTCCCGTGGGTGTTGTAAGAAGCAACTAAGGGAGCGCGAGGGATGGGCCGCAGCGTCCCTCTTAAAATACCTCTAAAAGCCTAACTGCGGTTGGCAACCCCCGTACCAAGCGTGGCAACCACTAGCAAAACAATCCTTATGAGGAAGGCTTATGTTTAACAGTGGATAGTTAAAGGCTGAAATAATGATAATAATATGTAAAACACGTCTAAATTCCAAATCTATAATATTAACAGTTACTGAGACATAGCGCTGTGATAGACAAACGGACGGACAGGTAAAATTGCACCATTGCAGAGTTTCTTTGTATATTCAGGAACCCTAAAGACGGATATAAATAACAGTTATTAAAAAAACAGTACCAAAAAGCTTAGCTGAGCGTATTTATTAAAATTTTTTGTTCATTTCAAATCATTTAGTGACATTTCTAGGTATTCAACTCCATTCACGCCATCACTTATGACCCAATTTTGTTATTTTTTTTAATATTAAAATGTACACGTTCAAGAAAAGATACGCGCAGAACGTTTTTAGCCCTGCCTCTTTAAAAGCCTGTTAATACGTTTCTATTTAATTATTTTCCCAATTAATACTCTAACTAACTCTAAACTAAGAGGTAGACTAAATCAGGGCTTGTTATGACTTACATTATGAAGCGTGTCTATTGTATAGAGGAGCTGAATAGTATGCAGTAGTAGTGAAATATTGAATTTATATTGAAATATATTAAAACTAACTATACTGATCCATGAAATGTTGCCTTTTTATGGAATCAACGGTTTATTTACATTTGTTTTCCTCCACGTCATTATGAATGACATAATGAATAATGATTGTCGCTGGTTCGATCCTGGCACAATACCAACATTTGTATTCATAATTATGTCTGTTTGTATTGGCCTGTATATTTTCTATGTATAATACGTATTTATAAAAAACAACATTATAAAAAATAATTATACTATAAGTTCTGCTTGATTTGGAACAAGATGGCGGTCTATAATATGTTCAATTGTATACAATTCAATTCCATTAATTTCAATATACTTCAATTAAGTTACTTTAACTGACGTTTATCAGAAAGAGAACTAAGAAAATTGGGGTTCGCTTTCTATGTTTGTATCATTAGTGGTAAATATAGTGTAATCTTGTAAACCGTTATCTTATTTTCCCTTGAGAATTCACTTAATCGATAGTCATACAAATACAGGGAATCTGTAAAATTTCAAGTACTTAGGTTCAGTGATATGGACTATGCGTGATCATGTGAGCTTCTTTTAAGTATATTAGCTGTATCTCGCTAGCTAGTGCATCTAGTAGTGTAGTGTATCTAGTAGCTAGGCCTCCATGCGGTCCGTTTTGGGTACCGCAACCGTTGTTAATTCCTGGTGAATTTGTCACGATGGACAAATTCATTCATTAATTCATTGTCTTTCCATTAACTCAATACTCTTATAGTTTCAATATATTTATTATCAAACGAGGGTCGTAATTGTGAAATCATATAAATTGTTTGTTACTTTTATTATGTTATTATAATGAAAACATTTGCTCTATGTTAAATGTCAATAAAAGTAATGAAATGTAATTTATTCCAGATACTCCACATCTTGATGAACAAGGAGTGACATTGCATTAAGAAAATAGTTTACCGTGAGTATTGAAATTTAGTGACTACTAGCGACTTGCTCCGTCTTTGCACGGGTGAAATGCTAATATTAAGTAGCCCCGCCGGCCCCTCGGCCGGTACCACCGCAACCGTTATGTCCCTGCATTTTAAATGTGTAATATCTTCGGAAATATTTATTTAAATTACATGCTGTTAAAGGGCATATTGATCTACATTAAATGCACAATATATTTAAGGTTCATAATTAGATAAGCATCAACGCTGTATTGCTTAAAATTGCATTAGTATTTCACGTAAAAAGTAAAGGATAAAAAATAGTTATTGTGGGTTATCCTTAAGAGATAGACATAACATCGCAGACTTTTTATAGACTTTCTTAAGGTGTATAGTACATTATTTTGATCTATCTCGTAGGGTTCAGCCAGCGTTTGTTACGTAAACGTATATATATATATACATATACACGTATCTTCTTTTCGAATCACTCTATTACTTATATAGTAATTTAATAGGAAAATTCTTATCTAATTCTACAATGGAAAATTTATATGAGATCAACACAAGAGTAATGCTTTTTGATCGCAAAAAAGAATAGACAGAGTTGAAGTTTAATTTATGTAAAGGAATATGAACCTTGGATTTTTGTTAATAGCGTTATTGTACCTTTTTTTTTTGGATTTTGTCTGTAGTCCAACTATAGACAATATCCCATCAGAGAAGCTTCATAAGAGTAACAATATTGTTACTGATTATTGAAAATGTTACATTAAACGTTATAAACATTGCTTAAAATATGTGACAAAGTTTAAGTGGTTTAAAGTGGAAATAACTTACGTTGTTAAAACATCTACACTTAACCTCGCATCGTAAACTTACGTTCACTCGTGTTCGCACATCACACGACTTTTAAATATAAATTTTGTTAAAACCCTTTGAACGGTAGAAATTATGTACTTAACGGCAATGGATTACAAACCATTGCTTTTTTATTTTAAATATTTGTTATTCCGTTAAATTAACTCCCGGCTAAAAAAGGAAAAATTACAAGATTGAAACCTGCTTTATCAATCTATCGTGATGTAGCTTTAAAAATTGTTAAAAATAAAATTTTGTTTCGTTTCTTTATTCAAAATATGATTTTATAAATTACTTAAAGGATACCTCGAATAAATAATTTGAAGTACGAAAGCCTAAACGTGATGGATTATCTGATGTTTTACGAATAATGATTAATGACAGTGATAATCTTAGTTATTTTAAATTTATATTAAATAAGTAATATTTTGTCAAATTACTATAGATTTATATATACCAAAGGTTGTCTGGAAGAGATTGCTTAGCAATAAGACCGCCTTTTGTACTACACTATACGTATTGAAAATTGTTTTAACAAATCATGTTATGTTGGTGCAATAAAGTGTTAAATAAATAAATAAAAATAAAAAATAGATATAACAAATTTATGACTTTCTTCATAAAATTAAAAGGAGATAAATTGTTTAAACAACACATAATGTATTCTTGTATCAAATACATCGTGTTTTAATTGTACAACATATTCATTAGCTATTTTATTGTTGGTATTTTAGAAAAAAGTAAACGTTTATTTTTAAAAATAGTTAATCAAAAGTAATGTTTATAATTAATAATATTATTGGACTACATAATCTGACACAGAAATAAAGTTAAATAAAGGATCATTAGGAACATTAAAAAATATTAAAGTAAAAATATAATAGTTGCCGATTATTATAGTCTGAACCATAAGCGATGTAATTAATATAACTGAAATAATTGCTTGAGTAATATGTGCAGAGTAACTTTATAATGGAGTCTTAAATCATTAGACCATATCACGTTATGCTCTGTAGTTTATGCTCTTAATAGAAATAACATTGTAAGTCACAAAGTAAAATAAAGTTTAGTCTAATAATTAATTTAGTATACATTTATTTACGAATACACAAAAAGAAATTTTAGCTATTAAAATTTTGTAAACATTTATGTACTTACTACGTATTATTTGTTATAAAATATATTGAATTACGTTACTTGAGAATATTATCATTTTACAAAATATATTTTTAAAATCGCACACTGTAAAAATTAATTTAATGGTCGGCCAGGCAAAAAATAACAGATAGAACAAAAGGGGAATTGGAAAGTATTTTGAGCACGTACATCTTCGTAGCCCTGGGGTTCGTCCGATGGCTACTTTTAATTAATTAAAAAAAACCTAATCTCGATCAAAAGTTTGGACTATAGTCGGACTTTTAATTTGATGCAGTGAACAGTTCCAGTGTTGCAGGTTATTGCTGTATTATTATTTTTTTATTTATATAAAAAAATAATCGATATAGGTAGGTTTTTTATTGTCTTTTTTTGTTGTAATGAAATAGTAATAATTATAATACTTAAAGAATTATAACTTGATAGGTTTACGCTAGTAAAAATAGTTACTTTTTAAGTGAATGAGGTCATCACTACTAAGTTAAATGTGGTAACATTATTTTTGAAAGTGACATTAGCTTATGTTAGTTTACTGCATCGAATTAAAAGTCCGACAATATAGTTCGCTAAACTTCGACAGTCTACTTCGTCGTACATATAAAAAATTTAATTTAATTCAATTATCTATTACGAAGTTTATTATAGTTAGTTAAAATAGATTTGATGATATAATTACGTACAAAGTGCAAATATTACTAGTTGACTAGTAGATTATGCTCCAAGCATTAAGTCCGCCATTTGTAGTATATTTTCTTTGGTAAATAAAGTTAATATTTATTTAAATAAAGAAATTACTTATATACAAATAGATATATTATTATTATATATAAATATGTTCCATAATGTTTTTATTTATTGATATTAATTTTTAATTATTATAATTCAGACTCATTTTAAATTTCACTTGTTACTTAAATAAATATTCAAATAAATTAATACTCAAATTTGAAGTTACCAACATAAAGTTGCTAACTCTAGATTAAATATAAAGTTTCTGTTATAATTAAGCAAGGAAGAAGTTAACACGCGCGAACCACACATCAAATCAAATATTTGTGGCTTCATTCTAATCTATTCTTGCAACAAGTTTCCTTAGTGTTAATTAGAGAACAGGATTGAATTACACGAGCACTCTTCATTAAGTTAATGAAATAAGAAAGCTTTTATCAAACCGGTCATTTAAATAGTAAATTAAGAAAATAGCTGTAACGTTCGCGGACGATCTCGTCAACGCGTCACCCCAATTTGTATCTAACTTAATTTCGTAGTATTTGAAGCTAAAATTTTAATTAAATTAATGTTGTTGTGTCCTATCTCGAATTTTACTTTCCGTCCTCTTTATAAATTCTCTAGTGGCTATTAGAAGTTTTATTAATTTTACCTAAATTATTTTAACATTATTGTATTAATTGTCTCTGAAAATATATTACGAGTACTTATTATTATTTATTAAAGTATACCTCTTTTCCTTTTAAATTACTGATTATTTGTATGATACAAAATAATTAACTATTGCATGTACTAAAATTGTAAATTAAATTATAAATTATTCGTATGCCCAATACTAAACAACTTACAATTTAAGATGCATTGGCTTTCAGTCTTTCTCAAGTAAGGATCAAATGTATGATCAATACGATAATTCACGAGAAATTATATTAATTGTATTCCTACAAATAAATTCGTTGTCTATATTATATATATATATATATATATATATATATATATATATATATATATATATATATATATATATATATATATATATATATATATATATATATATACGTGATATCATTAAGTGAGTAAAACAATACAATTAATTATTTCTCATTATTCAAGCAGTGGCAGTACATTTTATCATCCCTACCCTGTCTGTAGTTTGTCCAGGCCAAACATATATAATAGATATAGGTGTATCTTGTCGGTCGGTATCAAATAAATGAGTTCGTTCGGTTTGATTCATGTGAATGGGGACCAGGAAATACCCGGCAACAAATAAAACGGTTGAAACTATTGAAGTACGTGGGGTTGTTGCCTCAATATATGTATACATTACACAAAAAAATTCTAGATTCGTATTTCCATACAATTGCCACAGCCAAAAGTGTTAAAAATTAGAATCAAAAGAAAAATGTAGTTGTTATAGAAGAAGACCTGAGTGAAGTTAATTATTATTAACCGTCACATAAAATTCAGTATTTTGATGTTATATTTATACTAAAGTTATAAGAACATATAGGTTTGTCAGGTATTAAAATTATAATTCCTTGTAGAAATATGTATCAAAATATTCAAAAGATGTAGAGCATCATCAATCATGGGATTAACCCTTCTTTGTATGATTTTTTTATTGGTGAAATAAATCAAGGTGATAATTCATGTTCAAAATTAAAGGAAAAATGGTTAAAAAAATAAATTTAAAGGTATTCAGATACGATCAACTTAAAGAGAAATTGATTTTTTATATAATTTTTGGGCATTCAATGTTATGATGGAAATTTCCACCATTATGCAAAGAAGAGTTAATATGCGACCAATTTGAGAGTAACCACATCCGTTACAAAAAGAATTAAAAAATCGGTATCGGTAAATCATAATTGGTGAAGATACATACATACATACATATCTGTCACGCCTGTCTCCCATTAGGATAGGCAGAAACAATGGAACGCCAAATGCTTCGATTCAAACAAACCTCTTGGTGAAGATATCGTGTAATATACCTACACTTCAAAAATACAATGCGAATTAAGAACTTCATTATCTTGGAAGTTGCTTAAAAAGAGTTGTAGCAATGCCCACAATTTTAGTTTTTCACGGAAGCCATTGTTTCTCAACTTAATAATAAAAAATATATAGCTGTCTCATGCTCTATTAAACTTGACGAAATTTAATTTCAGTAACGGTTTCGTATTTCGGAAGATAAATAGTAAATTCTTGAAACATTTGTTTTATTTGTATATCTTGACTTCTTAACTTTGTTTGATAAAATAAATCGAGATTGATGAGT